GGGGGAGAAGAGAAAACGAGAAGCTGAGGATGACGGTGAGGAAGGAGACGACTAGGTTGCTCGGTGCTCTGGGTGGGCAGGCGCACGAGCACATCTCTGTTTCCCCCTGTATGATAGCTCTTCCTGCAGAAGATGATGTGTAACTTTTTATAGGAAAAGTGTGGTTTTACTATTTTTGCCTTATCATTCCAATTAAGATTTACTAGTCTGTTAATGCAGATTGTATGTAGAGAAAAATTTCCATTGACCCCTCCCACCATTGTGAAATTCTCTAGCAATTTATTTAGAATCTTAATTTTTCTAATTCAAGCACACTGTATTAGTAATTTTTAGCCCATAATTAAATAAGATTACTTTTACACAGGTGTAGTTTGGTGCATTTCATTCATAAGGTTTTAAAGTTATTTATAAATTAACTGAAACTACAGTCAGCTGTAATATGAAATGACAATAGTCTCTTGAATGATAAGTTGATTATTTTTTTTAGAAATAATTCAGAGAGCTTTAGTTTGAGGGCAGTGACTTTTTGGCTAAGGGTATTGGATGCTCATTACATGAGTTCTGTTGAAAAACAGATGCAGGACAGCATGGTCCTACTCAGCAATGTATTTTATGGATTTGGAGGTGCTGTTTAGTAATTAATGTAATTCATGGATTTTGTGATGACAGATAAGATTTTATGTTTGAAGGAAAGATCGCAGTTGCTCATACCAAGTCCAGAGGCGTGCGGTGAGCCCTCCCAAAATGCCCGAGGTCGCGTGCTGGGTCCCAGGTCGCCTTCCTCTCCTCCTGCAGTGACTGTTGTGCTCCCCTCCCTTTCTTGCCACTCTGTCCCAGAAGTTTGGGCTCCAGGAGTCCCAAGAAAACTTTAGTCCCATACCTTAGTCACCTTTTCAGATCTGGCTAGCTTTTAAATAAGTGAAGTGGAAAAAATTGAGAATTTTTTCAGATCCAAATGTTGCTCATAGTTTTATTCAACAGGTTCTGCTTAGGATAGAAGAAAGAGAGGCTTTTACAGGTGGTATTAGTGTTTCTCAAAAGCCTGGACAGTTGCCTGTTGATAATTAAATTTAAATTGATTTCCCAAGGACTTGGATGCCAATTTTGTGAAATATTTATAGTTTTTCTGAATAGAACTTAATAATTATTCTTCCTATAGTTGTAACGCATTACCAGATACAACATTATTGGATATGGAAGGTGGAAAAATATTTGTAACTAAGTTGATAACTAAGGCTTTCAAGCTTGTGCTCATTACAGATAGTACAGTACTTGTGCTAAATGTGAGCATGCACGCATCCAGCTGCTGTGCAGAGCCCGACAAGGAGATGAGCCCCTTGCCCTTTCGTCACGGAGGCATCCTGCCCAGGACAGTGTGCTGTTGGAATGTTTGCTGTCTGAAATTGTTTCTCTTTGAATATTTGTAAGTTTTTAAAAAGTGTCAGCAAATTGAAGTTACACTTCTCTCCTGGGACACATTTAAACCAGTATGGTATTGCTGCTGCTTTTTTAATTTAAAATAGAGGACTTGGAATATTAGAGTAAAAATTATGAAGTTATAGTGGAGAAACTAGAAAAGTTGCAAACTGGCAGAAAACACAGGATAAATTCATCGAGGGCCTGGAAACTCCAGAAGACTAAAATTTTTTTCCTTGTTTAACAGTTGGAATGCCCTATGTAGTCTCTAGGCATTCGCAATGAATACATCAATAAATACAAAATCTTATTTTTAAAACTAAATCTATGTATTGACTTTGTTATCAATCATTTTATTGTGCAATCATAATTAGAGTTCTTTGGTTTGACAACAACATTTAGAGCCTCCAGATAACTTTTAAGACTTAATGTAGCTTTGTGGGTGGTATTTTCATGCAAATAAGCGTGGGTTTTACATTTTGTAGAAGTTTTGGGTCCTATTTTAATGCTCTTTGTATGGCAGTATGTATATAATGTGTTAAATTCCTCAAGAACCTCTCCCTAAAAACTTTGAAGTTAATACTTTTGTGCAACTGTGTTTTGAATAAAGCCATGACAATGTTAAAAACAAATTAAAATAAATAAATAAATAAATTCTCCAGCTTTAAATACTGTTTTGCTTGCTCAGACCTTGACTGATAGGCTGGTTTTATGTAGACAATATAAAGGATAGGACAATACAGCAGACCAGTCTGAGCTGCTTGGAGAGACCCAATTCTGCATGCCGTCATGATCTTTATTCCATACCTTCTGAATCTAGTGTAATCATGTTTAACACTGCTGGCTTTCGCAGGAGTATTGCAGGGCTTACTCATGGGATAGAAATCTTTGGTGACTGAAATTGCTCCTAAGTATTGCTTCCTGGATTGTCACTAAAAGCTTGATAAATTCCTGCATTTTGGAATATATCTAATATCTATATATCTATATCTATATCTACATCTAATGTAGATCTAATCTATATCTATATCTATATGTACATCTAATCTATATCTATATCTATATCTACATCTAACGACTTTTCAGTGTTAAATGTATTTGAATTCTTTTGACAGAGAGACATATTTTTCTCCCTTGGGTGAGTTATTGTGATTTCATTGAACTTTATTAATCTTTATTACTTTTATTAATTTTGTTTAGTGGCTTTATTAATCCTTTATTGCCTAATTAGCTTGGTCAAGGAGCAGATAATCATGGTGCATTAAAGTGCCTCTTTCTGTGGATTAAACATACTTCAAGCAGTCCTTGCACTTTTCTAGGTATTACTATGAGAACTTCTGTTAATCTCTTGTCCTTAAGGTCCTGTTCTCATGGGAAGTCTTTCTGTAGACTATTGACCGATAATGGCTTTGCTGTGGTCCTATGACACTTGGTGCCCAAATCCAAGTCAGTTTTATTCAAGTGTAGGTTTTTTTCAAGTGCAGCTGAAATCACCTGCAGATGCTTGTTAGACATGTAAATTAAAAATAAAACATGAAAAATTTAATTTTAATAATCCATTTTTAAACCTGCTAGAGTTTAGAAAACTCTAGGTACCATTCCTGTAAGTCTATATTTTATCTCTCTAGAGAGATCGATGGCTTCCGGAGAAATATTTCCTCCTTGTCTGTCCTCTCCACAATGCTTGGCAGACTAATAAGCAATTAGTAAAATGTGCAATAAGCATTTTAGGATTGATCTCAGTCACTTTATCAAGTCAAATATGAGAAATAATTGCTGGAGCATTAGTCTAATGACAATGATTGTTGTTTTTTTCTTATTAAATGAATAACACTGAAACAATTATCCAGCAAAAGCGAGGTAGATCTATAGTAAAAGAACAGAAGGAATATTAATAGAAAATATGCAAGCATTGGTGAAATATATAAGGATAATGATATTGGACATTATGAAAAAGAGATTTAAAAAGGACAAATCATGCTAGACAAACTTGATTACTTCTTTGATAGAGCTACAAGATCAGTAGATAAAAGTAACGTGAAATTGTAGGTGCAATCTATCTCAATTTTGGTCAAGTGTTTGATAGTGTCACATGAAATTTCCCATCTTGAATTAATTGAAATTGGCTTTGGTGTCAGCCTTCTACTCTGCTAGATGCTAGAAAGCTACTAACATAAACATGATTCCTTTGTCTTATGACAAGATATTTCTGAATTGAAGACTAAGTTTGCCTTTGTTTACCACCTTAGTGCTTAATTTGGAGGATGTAGTTAAATAAGCTGACAACATTTTACATTTGTGTTATATTAAAACTAGTTGAATCACCAGGGAAAGAAATGGTATGAACACGGTTCAGATATCGTAAATATTTATATGTTACACCACTGACAACCTTCCAGCTTTTAAATATTCAATCAACTTGCACATTCCTGTTCATATATAGCCTTTTCTGGGACTTTGTGACTACACAAGCATATGTCTGTTTTAAACATATTTAAGGTTGCCAGATTTGCCAAATAAAAATTCAGGCAAACCAAAACATACACAGAATTCATTCTGAGATGCAGATACACTAGGAAATTTTAAGAAAACTCATGATCATAATTACACTTAATTTTTTAGACTTGCTAAGTCAATTATTTTAGATTTAACCTGCTTTTAGGGACAGATGCAAACATAGCTCTGAAATATTCAATGACTGCATAGGTAGGTATGTTTGGGTGTGAATCAGAAAGAGCAGTTTGAAAAGAAAATTTGAAAAGATAATTAAAATTAAAAAGAAAATTAGAAATGTTCATAAGAAAAATTTAATAAGAAAAAATAATGGTCATTAGGCTAATGCTCTGGCAATGATTTTGAAGAGATGTGACTTGAATTGCTGGTTTTTTAAAAAGTGAATTTATGGAAACAAATGGTTGTGTTTAAAGCTAAAGGATTTGATTATTCAGGAAAAAGAGAAACACAGAAAGATAAATGTGTAGTTGATTGAAATGGGAACTAAAGGAGTGTAATGCATTGAGAGGGTTATCTAATAATATCCAAAGGACATGAATGTTTCCAAATTTGTTACCATGGTGCATAGGTAGTAATGAGTGACACTAAGTAAATGAAAATTTGAAGAGCATGATACCCACAGT